TATCTTGCCTTTTTGTTTTTGTTTTTGGTTTTTTGTTTTCTGAAATTGTAAGAAAAACCAAAACGCAGGCAACGGTCACTGTAACCATGTAACTTCTTAACCGACAGCAACGCACGCTGATTTGGTGGTGAAAATCAGATCGATAAGTGTCTTTGTTTGAGGTGTGAACGGAGTCGATGATATTTCGCATATCCAAACTGCTCAAACAAGTTGAGTTATTGTCTGCTTGATTTTGAAGGGGGTTTAATAGATCAAATTCAGTCTATTCGTGCTGCTTTTGAAGTGAATTGTGTATGATACTTGCATTCCTTCCTCATCCCAAGCAAAATAAAGCACATGTTAATTAATTTAAGATGGCAGATTCAAGATGGCGGATAGTTACAGTTCCTTCTTTAATTCAAAATTACGTCATGAAGCCACTGCTGTTGTTAAAACTATTATCAATATGTTAGTCAACTTAACTTTATGATTTTATCAGACACCTTACTATTTAAGTTTTTTCGCTTTATGGTTACTGTAGGTGGAACATTGATGAAATTTGGATTCTGCCAATAAATTCGACAATATCAGCAATGTCAACCAAGTCATACAGAGAACGAATCCCACCGAAATCAAGAAACGTTTTTTCATTTAACAAATTTATTTATTTTTCTTTCATGTTACCATCCCAAAGTAGCAGATTACTTATTAACTCAAATGATAAAATATCCATTTCATTTCAGATAGGCCAACAGCTCAAGAAAGGTTTTCTTAAGATCGTGCCGTCAGAACCATTTATTGGAAAGAATGTAAAAATCCAAGTGATGTATAATGGGAGAGGAATGGGAGTTAAAACTTCTGTTTGTCTTAGAGCAGAAGTCTATGGCTGCGAAATTCCTCAGGGTAAGACTTTTTGCCTTTCTAATTTCAATAGAGAGGAAATGTGTGACTTCCTCTTACCATGGTAGCAAAATGTCTGAATTTTGTCTTTCTTGACGGAGAAAGCCATTTGCATCATCATTCGATGGAAGAATAGTATGCGGTCACAGGAAAGCTGTCATACGTGTTCATTTTTTTTTGCTTACCATATTTGCAGGACCACGGTTTGTTGAGATCCAGAAATTTTGCTTCCATGGCATCGTGAAGTAACGACTGTAGGTGCAAATCCACTGTAAACGGACGTTTAACACTTTTATTTTTTTAAACTATTCAATCTGTACAGAACAAGGATGTGCACGTTGTTCAGATTAAAGCAAAGGCAACGAAATGCTTCAAAAGCGTCGTTACTTCGGGTGAAATCGCTGCACACTAACACATCGTGTAACTTCGCACAAAAAACAGCTTATCACATGACCTAACAGGCAGGAAAAAAAAAAAAGGAGAATCCAGCCGCGACAACGACTTCTACTCTCTTATCTACTATACACCTTATTGAAACTTTTTACATACTTACTGTTCTTTGAAGCATTATCTACGCCCAATACCTTGGTCGAGTGACTTAAAAAAAGACTAAGTAAACATTTTAACCGCGTACGGATGTAAAATCATAGAGCTCTTCGAGAAACTCATTTATATTTGAGAAATGTGATTAAGTATAAGTAGAAATATTTATGAACTAAAAAGAAAAAGAATGCATCTCACACTTTCCCTAGCTTATCGCAAATGCCCGAATAAGCCCCAGTTACAATGCCCCCTCCATAAATGAGCACCCCGTTTAAGGTAAAAACATTCAATAAGCGCTCCCCTTCGAATAACAGCCCTCCACACCCCACCCTGTCTTACCGATTATATGGTTTACACTGTACGTATCTTTTAATCGAGTGAAGCTAACATAATTTGCAACTTCTAAGTTAGCTAATTAATAATTTGAGGCCAACCCAATGTCGGATGTTACAGTCAAACCAAGTCAAGTGTACCCCCCAAGATTCTATCAGTGAATTGATTATTTGAAAAATGAATCCGTTAGTCGTTCCCGTAACTGGTGTCAAATTCAAAGCGGCATTTCTGCATGCGTAATGAGCAGTGAATATTTTACGAGAACTTCTCTGTATTTGGTCAGATTGGAAATCTTTGAATGGATTAAGCTTCTTAGAAGACATTTACATCAATTTCAGGAAAATGGAGCTGGTAGAAATTTCATAACTGCCTCGCGTGTGAATTCACGGCTCATTACACATACAAGAATGCAGAGATCAATCTGAAATCTACAACTAGCAACGTATTCAACTTTTGAATAATAAATTCATTAATGGATTCTTGGGGGGGTACGCTTGACCTGGTTTGACTGTAAAAACCCAGCTCCTCGGACAATAGTGGTGGGCTTCATCATAGCGACATAAGTAGATGTCGATCATTTACGGAACTTTTGTGTATAATATTCTCCCGCCTTTTTTTTTTTTTCTAAAATCGTAACAGGCTACAAGCTTTCTCCTCCTCTCTTTGTCTCTACTAGGGACCCTCATGTTGACAGGCTAAAATGTTTTTCCTACCAAAGACTACTTTTGTTAAGGTCATTCTTGGATAGGATGCAGAGACTAAACTTGTCCAGATAAATTTTGAGTTATTGGGTTCCAACCAAACACGTCGTTGAATATAATTTCTACTTGTTTTTTTTGTAGGTTGCCTGTTAACCGGCTCGGCAGTTATTGTAAAGGCTAATGGCAGGTATTTAAAAACGCATGTGAAGAATGTTTACAGATCAAGAAACCAATTTAGAGTAATTGATCACAGGGGAGTGCTTAGCACAAGAGACGCAGTTCTGGATGAGACGCCAGATCCTGCCAAACTTACACCGAATACGTTGGTCCTGGGAAAAAATATTGGCTCAGGTTCTTTTCAGAAGGGAATTATTGAGCAGAAGGATGGAGCAAAGTATTTGATAAAAACTAAAGGCGTTATCTGGGCAAGTGAGTTAAATGATGTTCGTCTTGCCAAGTCACCTGAATTTTGCCTTCTTTGAGCCAAATGCATCAAGAGCTTGTAAGCAATGCCGCGTGTCGCCTTTTCTCGCGTGGGGTGATTTTGGAAAGCTCTATAGGTTAGAAGGATTGCGGTAATGTTATGTAGTTAACTGAATTTAAGGTATTGCTGTTTGTTGATCAAATAATAAACTTAGATTAATTCTGAGCCATATGTCGGTCATGGGGATACTAATAACATGGCTTTGACTTGTGCGGAGGTACAAGTACGTTTCTAGAGAAAAGGAGAACTGAAAGCGCAGCGTGTTCTCAAAAAAATGTTCATGTCTTTTTCCCTGCTATTCAATATTAGGGAATTACAAGCTTGGGGGTTAATAAGTTATTTGAATATGAATTTTACGTCAGCCGTTTGTTAAAAATATCAATTAGGCAAAAACACTCCTGCTCTTAACATATATAGTGCTATTCCTTTGCAAATATCCAGTTCAGTTTAACAAACGGTTCAAAACCGACAAGAAATATTGAAAACATAAATATTAAATAATAAACTTGGCAACATGCTTCATAATGGACCGAGAGCGGTCGTTCTTCTTTCCTCAGATCCACTACACGGGTAGTGAGCGAAAAAGTAAAATTATACGAATTAACGGTATAAAGGAGGGAATAAGGGGGCGGAGAGAGGAAAACAAATCATTATTTTTATTATTTTTCTTCTTTAGGAGCGTGAAATGTGTACTTGTCGAGAGTTAATGCTCTCAACTTACGAGAAGCAACAGTATAAGGACATGTTGGGTAGTAAATGGTGTGGGGGAGAAGAATTACATAGGCAAGGGAGTTGCATTAAGCTAGTAACAAGACTAGCCTGAAAAGGAGAGCCAGGGGTATAGCTCAGGGAGCCAGGAGTATAGGTCAAAATCCCTTGAGAAGGGTTCCTACTCCGGCCTCTTTAGAGCCGCAATCACAATGCCCAAAAAGAGGTCCTTTCTCCTCACAAGAGGTCATAATCCCCTTAAAGAAGTCCTTAGCCAAGGGCCGCAATCCCCCACCTCTTCTCCATCACTGGGGTCATAATCCCTTGGGAGAGGTCCTTTGTCCTTAGTTAGTTTTAGCCTGACTCTTGGTTAAGGTGGAAACCATGCGTACCCTGCAAGCAGTGGATTCTCCTGGCCGGACGCTATGCTACAAACCCAAGCTGAGGTTTCCATCCAAGCACATACTGAGGGCAAGGAAATCAAAAGAGACCCTCTCCTGGTCCAACAAATATCGAAAACATTAATATTTCGAAGAAAGTCTCCTACGGAATTGGCGGCTTGAATCGAGTGAGACCATTTATCAACACACATTCAGCTACAAAAATCCATCAGGCCTTAACTTTGAACGATAAACGCAACTGGGCAATTTCACGTCAAAGCGTCCAAAAACGGCAGAGAAATACATCATGATTCCCACTCATAGTTGTTCTTTGGTTATAAAACCTACTATTTTTTGTTTTTAACATTTGTTTGTCTCTGCTTTGTTTGTTTTTTTGTTTGTTTTTTTGTGCGTTGTTGTTGTTTTCTGCTTCTGCTGCTGTTGTTTTTACGTTCTTGTTGCTGTCGAGTCGTTGGATCCTGCAGCGAATTCGAAAACGTCGCTAAAAAAGTGAATTTACGTTCTTCCTGTCTTTTTCACGGTGATTACTATATCAAAAGCAGGAGTTCCGAAAACGATATAAAATCTTGTCCTCGCTTGCTTATGCGACGTCCTCCATATAATGTACGTTGTAGAACTAGGCCATTTCACGTCATAGCCGCATACGTGCAAAATGAAAGTGAAAGTTCCTTCTAAACCAATTTTGTTTGTTTGTTTGCTTTTGAGACGTTCTCGTTGCCGTTTTACGAAACAAGAGGAAGTGATGCCATACGTTTATGTTCAGTGGAAAAGAAAACGGTTGGTCGCAGCGGTTTCTCTCGCTCCGGCCTGGACAAACCACTGCTCAAAGAGTGAGACTGATCCGTTCTGCGAGTCTATGGGGCTAAGAGTGACCTGTAGGGGAGCACTTCATCGTAATCAAAGATTTATTTGTTTGTCAATTATCGAAATCAACTTCCTGCGTTAAGAAATTATTGTCAAAAATCAGACAGAGCTTATCACTTCATACCAGGAGCAAATTACATCTGCCGCTAGCCGTAACGGAACACATCTCCTGATGGTAAACTATTAAAAAAGTTTGGGCATGACACTATCCGTTAAAAAAAAAAAAAAAAAAAAAAAA